TGACACCAATGATGGGGCACTATTCCCCCCTCTGACACCAATGATGGGGCACTATTCCCCCCACTGACACCAATGATGGGGCACTATTCCCCCCACTGACACCAATGATGGGGCACTATTCCCCCCACTGACACCTATGATGGGGCACTATTCCTCCCACTGACACCAACGATGGGGCACTATTCCTCCCCCCACTGACACCAACGATGGGGCACTATTCCTCCCCCCACTGACACCAACGATGGGGCACTATTCCTCCCCCCACTGACACCAACGATGGGGCACTATTCCTCCCCCCACTGACACCAACGATGGGGCACTATTCCTCCCCCCACTGACACCAACGATGGGGCACTATTCCTCCCCCCACTGACACCAACGATGGGGCACTATTCCTCCCCCCACTGACACCAACGATGGGGCACTATTCCTCCCCCCACTGACACCAACGATGGGGCACTATTCCTCCCCCCACTGACACCAACGATGGGGCACTATTCCTCCCCCCACTGACACCAATGATGGGGCACTATTCCCCCCACTGACGGGGCACTATTCCCCCCACTGACACCTACGATGGGGCACTATTCCTCCCATTGACACCAACGATGGGGCACTATTCCTCCCCCCACTGACACCAACGAACGATGGGGCACTATTCCTCCCCCCACTGACACCAACGATGGGGCACTATTCCTCCCCCCACTGACACCAATGATGGGACACTATTCCTCCCACTGACACCAATGATGGGGCACTATTCCTTCCACTGACACCAATGATGGGGCACTATTCCTCCCACTGACACCAATGATGGGGCACTATTCTTCCCACTGACACCAATGATTGGACACTATTCCTCCCACTGACACCAATGATGGGACACTATTCCCCCCACTGACACCTATGATGGGGCACTATTCCTACCACTGGCACCAATGATGGGGCACTATTCCTCCCATTGACATCAGTGATGGGACACTATTCCTCACACTGACACCAATGATGAGGCACTATTCCTCCCACTGATACCAATGACGTGGCACTATTCCTCCCACTGACACCAATGACGTGGCACTATTCCTCCCACTGCAAAATTACAGTTATGAAGTAGCAACGAAAATAATTTTATGGTTGGGGGTCACCACAACATGAGGAACTGTATTAAGGGGTCGCGGCATTAGAAAGGTTGAGAACCACTGATCTAGGCGATCAGAAGCAGAAGTTGTCCTCCCCCCTCCCTCCCCGTAGTCTTCTGGGACACCTGACAGGTCTCAGAAGAGGACGGGCCATTCAGGAAGTGCAGCACTTCTTGCTCATGTGCAGTGGGCACCCGGCTGTGAATCCGCAATATGTCCCAGCTGGGTGCCCACACTGAAGATACCGGCGCCCAGAACACACAGGACGGCTGGTGAAACGGGCTGCGGGGAGGACACCGCGGGATTGTGGGACAGGGGAGTGGCTGTTTCTCTAGTAGTTTTTGTAGCTGCTGACTTTTTTGTACAGTGTGAGCAGAACTCCGCTTTAAGCCGGTTCCCCCCAGAGTCTGGTGTGGCAATGCATGGGAGCCAATCAGCTTGTAACCTCAGCTTGTTCAATGAAGCTTTCGCAATAAAACCTGGAAGCTGATTGGTTTCCATGCAGAAGTGCACTGTCTTCGGAGTGAACCCACTTCAGTACATAATCCCCACTGTATTCCACTCCTCTGTGAAGTGATTGACAGACGGACTTCAGCTCAAGTCCCCATCTCTCTATCATGCTCCCCTGACATGTTTCACCCACATTGGGCCTAGCAGTTGACAACAATGTACAACGCTACTTCCGTGTCACATAATAAACATTCCTAACCAGTGCTACACACTGCTCAGGGAAGTGTCCTCGTACTGCACTGTTTTCCATGCACAGTTTCTGGCGTAGATCTGGCAGGCACAGTTCACATACAGGTTTCAGTAAGCCTACAACCAATTTCCGCCATCTTGGTGACTGGCAAGCCCTCTATATCTTCGACAACTCTTTTTGAATCTATCCTACACATTACACAAACAGTTATCGCAGCTATTTTAGTCGCTAGTATGTATTCTCATTCAATACAGAAAGCGACTTCTTCGTTATTAGTAGTGTAAAGTAGAGGTGGTGGTTTCCCGGGAACTTCCGGTTGGAGGGAGTGACCTTTGCCCCCTCCGCCTCTCTCTCCTTCCTTTCCTGTAGCGGCACCTCGAGAAGACGTTGCAGTAAGTGCGGCCTGTCCATGGAATCCTAATGAATCCGGTGTAGTGGCGGGGGGAGCGTAGCCGTGGCTCGGTGCTGATGATAGGGGAAGGTCCCCTCTATGTATCCCGGAGGGTATTGTAGTGGGGGGAGCTGTGTGTGGGATAGGAGGCCGGGCGAAATGCAACTTCACCCTGGACGGTACAGCAGGCCTAGCTCCTGTACTGAGGGACACCCGGCTTCGGGGCTGAGTCCCTGCTGTGTGGACGAACATGGCTGGAAATAGGCCTGCCTTCCCGGGGAGACTTTCTAGGGGAGCCCGGAGGTCTAGGACTGGGCCGGCTACAACATGGACACCTTCCCAGCTCAGTAGTCCTTCTCCTAGGGGGGGATGCAGGTCAGACAAGGGGATCGGATTAGTAAACACGGGTCCGCGCACCATGGAGGGATGCTGGGAAGTGTGTACAGCATGTGTGCCCTGCCCGGCTCCCACACTGGTGGCCTGCCCGGCTCCCACACTGGTGGCCTGCCCGGCTCCCACACTGGTGGCCTGCCCGGCTCCCACACTGGTGGCCTGCCCGGCTCCCACACTGGTGGCCTGCCCGCCATGGATTTAGCCTCATGTCTTCTCTAGCAGGCTGAGATTTACCCCACAATCTGCGCCCAGTCTATGTTCTTGCTGCACGGCGGGATTTGGAATAACTTTTTCTTTCATTTTTTTCCTAAGTTGTTACACGTTTGTTTACCTTCACAATGCGTTCCATTGCAGAAATGCAGCATGCTTCACTTTTTTTTTTTTAAAAATGCTCCTGAAAGCAGCACAGTAGTGCAAGTTGGATTTATTGGCATACATTCATTCTTCTCCTGTGTGTTCAGCTATTAAAGTGATACTAAAGTCCTCATTAGGGTTTTTTTTTTTTTTTTTTTGTTTCATAACAAATGTGATACCTGCTGTGTGCAGTGGTTTGTACAGAGCAGCCCTGATACTCCTCTCAGGTTCCCTGCTGGTGCTCCTGGTTCCTCTCACCTGTTGGGTGCCCCCACAGCAAGCAGCTTGCTATGGGGGCACCTAAGCAGGTGTGCTCCCGAGCTACAGATCTGCGTGTTTGTTCACACACAGAGCTGCGGCTTGGCCCCCACACCTTCTCCTGATTGGCTCAATGGCTGACAGCAGCGGGGAGCCAGTGGCTCCTGCTGCTACCTCAGCCAATCAGGCGTGAGCGTCCCTGGAGAACTGAGGTTCTTGTGGACATCGATGGATTGGGATGGGGCTCAGGTTTTGGGAGAGGGGGGGTTGCTACTACAAACGGATGGTTTTATGCCTTCATGTATACAATGCATGAAGGTAAAAAAAAAAAAGTTGAGCCTTTACAACCACTTGAAAAAAGCACAGGGCTTGTTTACCCCTGAATACAGTTGAATATCTGATTCTCCGCCCCCCCCAAAATGTTTTCTAATGAGCTGAACTTGCACTATTGCAGTTCTTTTGCGTTTTAAAAAAGACATGACGCTTCAGTCTTATCACATGTAAATGTACCATTATGCACCACAAATGCATGTCAATTCTCCCGTAAATGTAAAAAAAAATTCATAATTATAAAAAAACACACAATGTAAACTTGCTCCAAGCACATTACAAATGCATATTAATCTACAGACTGAATGTGGGCTTTTATTATTACAGGTACTTATATAGCACAATTTACACAGCACTTTACATATATATTGTACATTCACATCAGTCCCTAACCCTCAAGGGGCGTACAATCTAAGATCCCTAACTCACATTCATACATACATATAATATGACAATTTAGATAGGAATCAACCTACCAGCATGTCTTTGGAGTGTGGGAGGAAAGCCCCACAGGGAGAACATGCAAACTCCAGGCAGGTGGTGCTGTGGTTAGGATTCAAACCAAGAACCCTAGTACTGCTGGGCTGAAGTGCTAACCATTTAGCCCCTGTGCTGCCATGTAAGGGAGCCCTTAGTAGTGTAATTTAAATAGATTAAGGTGCTGGCTTTTAATTTCCGTATTCCCTTCCCACCCTGACCTTTTTACATACTGTCCTGTTATGATATTTGTTGACAATTGTGTATGTGGGCCTATGATCCATAGGAAGGACAGGTTTACTATTCGGAAGATGTTACATGTTCCACTCATTTTGTAGGGTGTACCATGTTCCTGCTCCTACAGTCTCTAACCAATCCCCTTCTCATTGTGACAGCAAGTTGGGGACCTGTGCCCGCTGTCACAGTTTGAAAAGAACGCCACCATGCTGGGCTCTGCCCACATGGCCACATCATTCAGAGTCCTTTAAATGAATGAACTATAAGTACTGATAGGCTTTGTGGCTGACAGCTTGTAGTTCCCAATGAACAACTGGGGTGCTAGTGCACACTCTTGAGTCTTCCTGTCATTGTGTAACTGCCTGCCCATACACGCAGACAGATATACTGACAGTCTGCAGGATCCTGAGATTGCACCCATGACCTGCTGATCACAGATGCAGTGCTTTACAGGCACCTTTTAAAAAAAACCAACTTTTTTTACATGCACAAAATGCAATTTTTTTTTTTCAAAGGCGAACTTGGTTATTGAAGCAGGCCCTTCCCCCTTTTTTTCCTAATATTCATTCTTCCTCCTATTGGCATAATCACAAAAAAGTAAATCCTAAGGACCCCTCACTTTCAGATTTCTTGCCTAGGTGACCAAAAATACAAAGTTGCATGTGCAGGATGGCGTTTCCCTCTCTAAAGAACATGCTCTGTTTACTTTGTCTTTTCAGAAATGGCTCCACGTAAGGGTAAGGAAAAGAAGGAAGAACAGGTTATCAGCCTGGGGCCACAAGTGGCTGAAGGAGAAAATGTGTTTGGAGTCTGCCACATCTTCGCCTCCTTCAATGACACCTTCGTGCATGTGACTGATCTGTCTGGCAAGTAAGTGCTGTTTATACCCTTTGTGGGGATCGTTATTCCAATGGTACTTGTGGATAGTGGGAGGAAACTTAGAATTGTGTTGCTTTGCTTGCAGGGAGAGAAGTGACTTGTCTTTTCATAACTTTCTGTTGCTTCCTGGCTTTGTGGCACCTCCATTTTGTATGCATGTCACAGGGACCCCAGTGGGATCACAAACAAACATTTTAACTCTTGCTCTATCAGAAACTACAAAGGAAAAAAAAATAGTGTTGGGTTTTAAGCTGGGCTGGAGAGTGGCATGATGACCAGTTCTGTTGTAAAAGACACTTTTTATTCTTTAATAGGCCTGGAGATTTCAGAGTTAAGACAGAAAATTAGTTAATTCTACCTTGTATTGATCATTGGTGTCAATTGTAAAACCATTTGGTGTTTTTGTTTTTTTTTTTCTGATTTTAATTTTAATAAAAATGTATGGCTTTCATTTGTAGTTCTCATAAGCTTTGTCTGTCATTTCAGAGAAACAATCTGCCGTGTGACTGGTGGAATGAAGGTCAAAGCTGACAGAGATGAGTCCTCTCCCTATGCCGCTATGTTGGCTGCTCAAGATGTCGCTCAGAGGTGCAAGGAGCTTGGCATCACAGCTCTTCACATCAAGCTGCGTGCCACCGGAGGAAACAGGTAAAGGCTGTCTGAAGGTGTTTCTCGCAGAGTGCAGTTCACTTATTTTGGGTTTGTCAAAGCTCTTATGAACCATCTACCCAAAAATCTTGGGAATAGAAAAAATGATTTAAGAAGATACAGCTAAGGCCTAGGAAATGCAGCAGATTGGTTCTTAAAAAAAAAAAAAAGTTGTGCCCTTTCAAGGCTGATAAACATGTCCAATAAGGCCCCGTCACACCGGTGATTCATTGAGGTCCTCCTGTCGGTTTATCAGGTGGACCTAATCAGCTGATCCATGTGTACATATGGAGCGGCGGGTGTAAACAGACCTGTGTCAGTTTACACCTGCCTACCTCCAATTTGATCCTCTAAAAAGAAATGGAAGGAGAATTTTTTTCCCTCTGTCTAGTCCAGGAGTGTGCAATCTGCAGCTCTCCAGCTGTTGTAGGACTAAAAGTTCTATCATGCCTCTGCAAGTCCTAGCTGTAACTGTTTTGCAATGTCTCGTGGACCTGTAGAGTCATGCTAGTAATCTGGTCTTTGTAATGCCTAATGGGAAATGTAGTTCCACAACAGCTGGAGAGCCACAGGTTGCTCACCCTTGGTCTAGGCAGATCAGAGGGCAATCGGATGTAAATGGACTGCCAGCCCATTTACAACTGACCATCCATAGAGAAGAGCCAGCAGTGTCTGCTTTGCACAAACTGAGCAGACACGTACCTGTCGTCTGCCTGCTCCACTGCTCTGTAGACAGATCCCCTGCTTCCTTCCTGTAGACTGAGGTTTCCACCTGTATTTGGAGTGTGGGTTAGAGTAACCGCATTCTTTTGTGGTATAAAGACCTTATTGCACCGGAAGGATTCATAGCTGCTGATATATAAAACTGAGCACCCTGGGGTTGGAAAGGTATCATGGCAGCTGCAGCCATAATCTTGATTTTTTTTTTTTTCTTTTTTCAGCTGTTGTTCCTCTTCAAAGTCAGATTTGAGCAGCTATATAGGTGGCAGAAAGAGCCTACTACTAATGCTGACCTGTCATATCTGATGCACATGACTTTTCCCCCCTACCACCCCTTCTGTGATGTCAGAAGCTGGAAGTGATGAAGATTTCATTACTTCTAGTTTTGGTTTGTTTACAAACTTTTACCAGTTTGTAAAGCAGCCGATCAAATGATCTTAGTTGGCTCAAATGCTTTGTAGAGCAGAGGAGAGCTACCGTAAGGAGGACCTGTAATTTTCAATTAGAAATAAAGTAAAAAATTTAAAATAATGGGAAAAAAAATCTAAAGTGCCCCCATCCCCCTTGTGCTTACTTGCAAATGTGAATGCGCCCATCTTTTTCACGCGCATGTAAATGGTGATCCCACCAGATATGAGGGCAACAATTACATGTCTCCTGCTGAACTCTAAACTGGTAACCTGTAAATTCTTACCTATGGATAACTTGGTGTACGATTTCTCACTAATCCCCAGCTTTGCAGTTTTAAAGTGTGACATTATTTACTCGGTGTAACATTTTACCAAAAATTGGGTATTTTATGCATTAAAATTTGTGTTTTTTTTTATTTCCCTGAAAATGTGCATTTGCACTGTGTAAATTCTGTTCTACATGATTGTGTCATTGGCTTACTGATTTTTCAAGAAGCCTGTACTAAGATGCAAGTAAAAAACTTTAGGCATCTTCTCCCCACCCCCTAACAAAAGTGGAGCTACTCTTTAAGTCTCATGTCCAGAGGGTCAGTTTTGTACTTTGTACTTCAGCTGTGTTCCTGGTCTTGACTGATGCCTTGAACGGTTCTGTACTATTACTCGCTGGATTTTAAGTCTTGGGGATCAAACTATCAGCGGTGACCTGCATCATTTCACACTGGATAAATGCAAGTCACCGCTATCGCACACTGAAGCAATTTACTGTGTGCCCCATTCACACTGCAATGCTGGTGTGAGCTGTGGTAAAATGCAGATATGCTGCTTTTTTTTTCCCCCACAGTGCACAATCTGTTGCTGTGTTATCAAGCAGGGTGTGTTCTTAAGGATTTTCCCAGCTCATGGTAATTACCTGTCCAGTGTTACAGAAATGACCTGTGCAATATGAAGAAAATCCTGGTGTTTTGATCCTTCATACATAAGGAGCTCTACAGCTGTGCTAATGAGAAAAATTTGTACACCTATGAACTCTATTTTTTATTTTGTACTTTCAGGACCAAAACCCCTGGCCCTGGTGCCCAGTCTGCATTAAGAGCCCTGGCTCGTTCAGGCATGAAAATTGGCCGCATTGGTAAGAACATAGCATTATTTGTACCCTTAAAAGTACAATCTATTGTGTTGAACTTGCTGTCCCCGAGTACTGTTGAGTATTGTCCTTGCCATAGGTCCTGATCTTTTCCAGGCCACCTAATTGCTTATAAATTGGATGACCAATAATGCAGTTCTTCAAAGTCCAAGAACTAGCACAACATTTTTACATGCATATAGTATAGATAGTAGAGGTGATCTATATTATCTGATCATGGTCTGGAAGATGTTTGGTGACCTAGTTGCACCTTATTACGGTTGCACATGTGCTGGTTTCATCTGTTGGTAAACAGGGAAGCTAGAAGCAGTCTTACTGAGCAATTGTGTGCAGTACAATTCTGCTCTGTTCTGTGGAGACTTGAAATTCAAGATTTCCTGTTCAGTTACCTTATACATACAATGTACTCAATGATTTCCCTTCTACATCATCACCTGAAACACCAGTCTTGGGTGGACTGACCTTTTACTGAACAGTTGGCTGCAGACTGGCAGCCCTTAATTAGGACTATGCCAATATGATCCTTGAATCCATGTTCTTTACAGTTCCATTTTACTTTTATAAGTTGATTTAATTTGATGTGGCTTCAAAGTTCACCAGCATCTTAGATCAAACAATTGAATGGCTAGAAAGTGTTTGTTTTTTTTTTTCTTGAGGCATAAAGGCTCAAAATATTCCTTCTGAAATTGCAAGTATCTAAATCTTCTTGCGGTACTGGTGCTGTAAACAGCATGTCTTCTAGGAGTGTGTCCATCCCCAAGGTGACTGTGTAAGAGTATTTGTATAATACTTCACTCAGTGATTGCCTTTCATCAGACCTCCAACTTAGCATGTATTTTCTGCAAACGCTTGGGCTCGGTTTACACCATTGTGGCCATGAAGCCTGCATTTGCTCAGGGATGGCAGCCTATTCATCTGAATGGACTACTTTGCTTGTGTTTTCCACAGAAAAAAAGTTGACTGCAGCTTTTTAAAAACCATGAGATTTCCCTGCAGTTTCCGCAAATGCACTACAGGTTGAAATACATGGAGGTGCTGTTCAGAATAAATGGCAGCCCCATGCATCTTGCATGAGCAGCCGCAACCAGCCTGCAGAATGTGGGCAAGTGTGAACCTAGGCATAAAGAACTAGGTTCCGTTTGTTGCGTGCAGGCAGGTCTTTTATTGCGAAAGAGACACACACTTGCCTGAAGCTCACATTACAGTAGCAGGCCTGATCCCCGTGTGCCGGAATGACTGCCTCCTGCGAATGCGCAGGTGTAATATCATCCACACCAGGCACTGAAGCTGGCCAAAAAGCAACACATAGAAGATGCTGGTGAGGGACAGCTCCTCTAGAGTGGTTAAGCACAATGCTGTGGCTGAGAGGAACAGTGGAGCTGCTCATTGACCAGCTGTGCCTAATCAGAAGTTCTTTTGGCCCTTAGTCATTAGGACCAGTTAACATATGTGCAGTATGTTATTTTAGGCACATTACCATTGAATTCTAAGGAATGGGTGTGCGTTTTGAAGAGAGCGCATCAAATATGCAGGACTTTTTTTTTTTTAATGCATCGCACTTAAAATGCACAGGAGCGAACATGACCTTAGTCTAACTGGTGTGAGAAGGTTTAGGAACTGAGAGAATTTTGGGACAAGTGTTTCCTGTATTTATTCTGCTTTTCTTAAATCATAACTCCACCCCAACCAATTTTATTTGGATTGAGCAGAGAAGGGTTAGAACCGGCTAAACAACCACCCCAATTTACAACTAGCCTTTGCAGGTGCACATGGAAGGGCTTTGCACATCTCAAACAAGCAAACGTTCCCAGTGCACTTTACCAGCTAGCCTGCAGAAGAACAAACTGACCCTGTCTAACAATTCACGTTAAAACCAGAGGGTTTAGTTACACATTTACAAATATATGTGGAAATCTTAGTGCCTTGCCAAGGCTTCTCTGTATGCTGCAGTCCTAACTCTAAATTTGAGTCTCCAAGTTGATACATTTATAGCAGAGGATAAAGTGAAGTGGTAGTAAACACCACTTAATAAAAAAAAAAAAAAAAAAAAAATTACCCTGCTAGAACTAACCTTACAACTGAAGCCCTGCCAGAAGTGACAGCGCACCGCTAGAGGGCTCAATCTTCATCCGGTCTGCCTCCCAGTTTCGTGAGCTCCAGCTGACTTGTCTGGCCGAGCTGCGATGTCTCAGGCTATGGCACAGTGCTATGAAGAAATGGCACAGCTATGCTGTTCCTTGACAGCGCATGCGCTGCCTGCCAAAAGGAGCAAATATCTCGTACATGGTTCACATTTAGGAGATAGTTGTTTTACCTGTAGGTAAAAGCAAAAGTTTACTACCACTGTGAGGACAGGTATGTCTGAAGGGAGCCCATTCCTCAAAGGTACAGGGACACATTAGGTGCTTCTGGTTTTTAGTCTTATTCCTGGCCCCATTGGTTGATTGTTACCTCGCATCCTGGCCCCATGTGACATGGAGTCACTAGAACAGGAAGTGATGGGAAAACTGTTATATGAATGACCAGATAAAAACCCATTAGAATCTTGTCCGATTTAGTTGAGGCCTTCTGTCCAGTGGCACCTAATCACCTCCTTGTCCTGGTGTCAGTGACAGGCATTTGAAAGTATATTGAGTCAAAAGGGAAGCAAGAATGCAAACTTTTACAGATCTTTTTCTTCCATTATTCAAAACTAAACATTAACCTGGAGTTTGGATTTTTTTGCACAAGGGAGAACAATTATAAAGGTGTACTTGAAGTGTACTCTATATCAAGACTACTTGTGTCTGAACAGGAAAATAATTAACTCAAGGGGGGGGGTTCTTGCTATATGCATTCTGTAAATTGCCCCAGAATGTGTTTTAGTTGCTACTATTTCATACTTGTAAAGGTTATATTTGGTTTAACTGCTGATCAGTATATGCAAAGTGTATTTTTCTAACTGTGACTTTTTTTTCACCCTTTTCCAGAGGACGTGACTCCCATCCCTTCAGACAGTACCCGCAGGAAGGGTGGTCGCCGTGGTCGTCGTCTGTAGTTTTCCTGCATTGTCTTTCAGTTGTTAATAAAATAATCAGACCAAAAATGCTTGTGTTTTTTGATCTGTTTGCATTAACACTGTTAAAATCTTGTGTAACCCTAAGGGAGAATATTTTGCTTGCAGCCCCCACTTAAGTCCACTTTCACATTATCAAAAATGCTGACCTCTTTATCCTATTGCAGTGGAACAAATGTTAACCACTTGCTGACTGCTATTGCTGAACGATGGCTACAGCGCAGATGTCCAGTACTGGGAGGGTATCCATGGAAGTCCTCCCAGAATCCTGCCCCCCGAGGCTTGCATTGGGTGTGCTCTGTGACAGCTGTGTCCTTTGAACACAGCTGATCACGTGGTAATCACATGTACACAGGGGCAGTCATCAGTCTGAACACTGGGGCCCTATCACTCCCTCACTGGACACAGAGACCCCTTTCCTGGAAGCCTGTCCTTGGGGATCCCACCTGACCAGAGCCCCATAATGTTCCACTCAGCTCCTCTATTGATGGCCAATAATGATCAGACACCTGTACACAGCTGTCTACACAAGCCACAGCGGACACCGCCTCTCCTCCCTAACACTGGAAGATGGATGTATACAGAGCTTCATCTTACTGGGGTTGTCAGTATTGACAGCAGCTGTGTAGGCCTCAGTGCAAGCTGGGGATTCTCCCAGGAAAGTGTCAGTTGAATGAACGTTGCTCTGTATGCACAGCCTATAGTGGAGTAAAGCTTCACATTCTTGTGTCAGCAGTTTGTGTTGAATGTGAACCATGCAGCATGGCACTGCATAGGTTAATGCATGACTTCAGTCTGTAGTAAAGTGACTTTTCTGGTGATGAAAGTAGATGTCCCACAGTCTCTAGGTCTGTCTAGTGCTCTTCAGGTGCAAGATAAATAGTAATTAGATCCTACAGATACAAACTACAGAGATCACTATGCAGTCTTTCATCACAGCACTCCAACAAATTTTGATGTGTTTCATGGATTGAAAAAGTTGCCGGTCTCTACCAAATAGCGACATGTTGGATAAATGAATACATGGATCAATCAGCCATGAGACAACAAATTGCAGCAGGAACAGTGCATTATTTCAAGACAAACCCTACAGGGAATATAGCGACAGTATTTAAAAGTGTACAATGCCTTTTAAAGGTTCCCGGCAACCCATTGTATTTGAGGGATTTCCTGTTGTTCCAACACTTGACAACTCAAAGTGAGTTGAAGAAATGCCAGTGACTTTAAACCTGGAAAGCTTTCCATGGCTAACTCACTAGAACGGAGTCTGGAAAGTACCTTACACAGAACCCAGGACCCAAAGGAAATGTTCAGGCTATCCCTGCAATGTCTAGCTCAGCAATGGGCAAACTACGGCCCGGCGGACCTTTTAATCCGGCCCGCGGAGCTAGGCTCCTCTCAGTCTGCCCTGAAGACTGGTGTAGCATGAAAATCTGTCTCCTATGAGGATCTGTCCCCCTTGACGTATCTGCGCATGTGCTGGAGATCGCCGATCGGCTGCTAATGCCTGAAACTGGCACATGCGCAGATACGTCGAGGGGGACAGATCCTCATATGAGACAGATTTTCATGCTACACCGGAACGGTGCGGGAAGATGGCGAGAGGAATGCGCGGAGCAAAGGTAAGTGAATTGACACGGGGGACTTGGGGACTTAATATGGGGGATGAATTTACTATATGGGGGATGAATTACTATGCTTACTATGGGGGAATATTACTATACTTACTATGGATGACACATACACATCATTCATCTACTCTTGGTCCGGCCCCCGGGTCCAATATATGAACCCATTGCGGCCCTCAAGTCAAAAAGTTTGCCCACCCCTGGTCTAGCTCATAAATGTCCAGATGCAACACTCCAAGTAGGCTGTGGATGACCACACTGCAATCAGAGAAAAGATGTTGGGAAGAAAAAAAAAATACTTTCAGCTCTGCTGTGTAAAAGACTAACCAATTTTTGAAAGTATTTCCATCATTCTAGGACACTAGAAAAAAAAAAAAAGAAACACTGCGGCATGCTGGTAGTAGGGAGGAGTTATCCTGGGCTGGCCTACAGTTTTTGTTTGCCAATGCTTTTGTAGGTTGCAAGTTACTGCAAAGCTGGCAGACGTCTTGTGTCCTCAATAGACTAAGAAAAAGATTTACTGATGGGTACCAAAATCCTCTTTATTCCATTCACCTGCAGGAAAGTTTAAAAAAAAAAAAAAACATTTCTTGCTCTTTTTAAAAAAAAAAGTTATTTTTTTGTTGCAGGAGCCTGTAAAGCAGTGGTTCTCAACCTGTGGGTCGCAACACCTTTGGGGGTCGCCTAAGACCATTGGAAAACACATATTTCTGATGTGTCAAAAGCAGCTGCTGTGTTGAAAGCAGTAGTATTGGAGGTAAAACGACACTCATGAATTATAATTACTGGGTAAATAATTTTATGGTTGGGGGTCACCACAACACGAGGAACTGTATTAAAGGGTCATGGCATTAGGAAGCTTGAGAACCACTGCTGTAAAGCATTGCAGCAGTAGATCGCTGATGCCATGCAGGTCTCCTGCAGACTTGTCAGATGTATGAGCAAGCAGATATACTGACCGGAAGATTAAATGAATGCTCTCAACATGAGGGGGGGGGGGGGTACAGTTTCCTTGGCAAAGTACCTTGTTCCCATGTCAAAGCACAAGGGGCCTTTTCTCCATAACCATGGCCTAGTAGTTGTGGGGGTTTGCAGGCAGGGGATCAGAATCTGGAAGCCTCTTAACAATGGAGCCTTCAGATACCGGTCTCCAATAAGAATGAGTAAGGAGTACATAGTGCCCCTACTTATTCACAAAGTGAAAAATAAATAAAAACATACTATGTCCCATAATGTACATAAATCCATGGTCAAGCATGCCATCCTGAATGGCCTTGTATAGAATTTAAGGGGGGCCCAAGCTGGGTTTTTTCCCCATGGCGTCCCTCCTGAAATTTATACCAGATCTAGCAATTTTTTATTGGTAAATGTCAATTTTGCTTAAAGCGGCGCTCCACCCAAAAGGGGAAGTTCCGCTTTAAGGATTGGCACCTGGGGGGAGTGGGTACACAAATATGACAGGTACGATCAGAAGTGGAAGTTGCTCCCTCCCCGTAGTCTTCTGGGACATGACAGGTCCCAGAACACTGGCAGCGCTTCTTGCACGTGCGCAGTGGGCACCCAGCTGTGAAGCCGCAAGCTGTCACAGCCGGGGTGCCCACACTGAAGATGCCGATGCCAGGGAGAGAAGAGGGTCGGTGAAACTTAAGTTCTGTACACATGCACCACTTTACACACAATGTAAGGGCATCCCCAAGGCATGTTATTTAAACACCTCCTGGACGGTGGCAGTGCAGGGGTGGGTGGCCGTTTATACACTGCCTCCCTGCCCCCTGCTTGTGTGCGCTCCCTGGGAGCGCGCAGCACCGCGATCCAGTGCCCGCTGTGCCCTCCGTACACAGTGGAACACTGATCGTAGTACGGGAACTCTGTGCGAGGTCCCAATCCTGCGATCACTGATTGGCCAATCGGTGATCACATGCAGAGTAGTAAGCAATGATGTCACTCCTGACATCATTGCTTACTACGTGTGAAATCTGAATGGTCACATGGTACAAGGCTATTCACAACAGCCTTGTACCATGTGACAAGCTGCGACCAATCACGGCTCACACAGTATTTCTCAGTGGCTGCAAAATTATAATTTTTGGTTATAAACTAATTTGGGTTTTTATTACTAAAACGATAACTGAATAAATTTTGGCCAAGATTTATGATGGAATATTATTTATTTGCAAAATTTTATAAGAAAAACACTTTTTTTCCAAATTTTTGGACTTTCATGTATATAGCGAAAAAAAAAAATCCCAGTGGTGAATAAATACCACCAAAATAAAGCTTTATCTGTCTAAAAAAAAAATGCTAAAAAATTCACATGGGTACAGTGTGTTGCAATTGTCATTCAAAGTGTGATAGTGCTGAAAGCTGCAAATTGGCCTGGAATTTTGCTTTGGCAGCTTGTCACCAGGGCAGCACTCAGCCCTTCATGTGATTTGTTTGACAATTCCTTGGCTATTAAGCCTATTAAATGACCAGAACTGATTTTAAACATCTCTTGGCTTTGATGGGATTTGGATTCTGCACCCAAACCTCTCATTTTTGCCAAACCTGCCTCAAACCGAACCCAGGTACGTTCAACTCATCCCCACTGCCAAGGACTAATGATCTGATTTAGTTCTTCTTCTCACCAGAAGAGGGGGGAGCTTTACCAGCTGCCTAAATTGTTATGGCAAAGTCATGCACTGTAATTTTGTGACATTAAATTGGAACAATTCAGTTAGTTATGATCGAACTTTGCAGCAATTGGATGATTTTTAAAATGTGGGAACAGGTCGGGACCCCTGTGAAGGTGCCCAGTAACTAAACGCATGGATCTGCACATGATTAGACCATAGTTATGGATATTGGAGAGGGTGGGTGTCACTGATGCTAAGGCTCCTCTTTGTCCCCTAATTTCATTAATGTAGACCAGAATCAATCGGTCACTGCATCCAGTTGCATTGCATATGCTCAGAAATTGACTGTTGAGGTATGAGACATCCTGACCTGAAAATTCAACTTTTTATTTACACCAAAGCTTTTATCAACTGGGAACATGTATATGTGTGGATGTTAGCTCCTGTCTGTACCTTTTGAACGCAGAGCCAGCCAGGGGCGTTGTCCAAAAGCTGGCACATCCCCTAGTAAAATGCTACACAGTACCACATATAGTTAGGCACACTGTTAACCCTTTGATTGCCCCAGATGTTAACCCCTTCCTATCAAGTTTCATTAATACAGTGTTAGTGCATTGTATTAGCACTGATCACAGTATTGGTGTCACTAGTTATGTCAGTTACTAGTATTAAAAAAAAAAAAAAAAAATTCTAGTATATATACGGTCATTTGTAGATTATATCATTTTCATGCAAACCA